TCCAAATTAATGGCTCTGCTTTTTAAGTTCTGTATCCTTGGCTCTTACTTCTGTTAAAGGGCATACCACAGCCCTGTGTATTTTTCCTGTAGGGTGACAATACCAGGCTCCAAAGCCCCTGATGGGTTAGGGACATTGTCTTATTTGTCATCCTAACTCTTTGATGCCAGTGTGGTGTCTACTATGTTGTACTGCACAACTGTCAGCAAATGTCCAATGTCATGTCCAGACATGATTACTTTTGTTCACGTTAGATGGCTAGGGGACGATCTCAGAAACATGGATCTGTGTTTTATATATATATATATCCCCCCGGGGGGATGGCCACACCACAATCCCTTCTCCTCCATTCTCCTCTTGGGATCTTGGGCACGCATGCGCATGTGCCCTGCATGAGTTTAAGCCACCGTGTCCGGGACTTGAACCATGGTCGACTACATGGGAGTCCAGCAACATAGCTATTACACTAACTGCTGGTCCCTCTGTGTTATATTTTTACATAAAATTTTACTTGCTCATATCACAATTCAGGGTCAACTACAGGATAATGGAAACAACCTAGAACTGAAAGTTAAAGACCTGGATTCAAGCTACTGTTGAGTCAGTACAAGATGCAGGACCAGGAGCCCACTAGACCAACCTCCTCCTCAGGCCTCCTTTCCAAACAGGTTGAACAAGTGGGTGTGTCTATGTGAGGGTATGCAGCCTAGCTGCATGAAGCAGTTATCTACATGCCTCATTAATTACTCATTCAAGCTGGCTGACACATGCCTTGGATGCGAGGGGCTCTATGGAAACATTCATGGGGTAAAGGAAACATCCTGACCCCTGGCTAGGTCATATGATGCCTGTTCTATATAATATTTATGGCTTACACATCATCCTCTTTGATGCATACTCAGACAGCATTCCTCGAAGTTGCAGAGGAACAGCATAAGTAATCTGGCTTGACCTATGATGCATAACAGGATCACACATGATAGTAACGAGGTCGAAAAAGATATACACTAAAGTCCTTTTCTCTAACTGTAGAACTTCAACTGCATCCTTGAAAGCTTGCAAACAGTTCACTGTGCCTGGAAAAATGTATAAATGAAGAAGCTCAGCATGACTGAGCAGCACAGCTTGTCTGTGTTCACCCTCATCTCTGCTTCTGCATGTTTCTCCTTTCTCTAACTTTTTTCTTTTACAGGACTAAATCCTGTGGTGATTGCCAACAGTATTACCATCCAGAGAGATATTACTCTTAAATTTTCCCAGTGGACACCAACAGGTGGGTTCAGGTTCAGTGCCCTTGACCACTGCGTTGTGGTCTCGAGTAAGCCAAGGGAAGAACCCCGCACACACTCGGCTGAAGGCCCAGTCCCAAGATATCACTGTTGATAGTATATATTTACAGGAACCACAGACCCCATACCATTTTTACTGGGCAATACTGGCATCAAAAGCATTTCTCCCTATTATCAATGCTAATTGAGAATGCTTGAGGTGGAAAGTTAAGGCAGCCTGTGAGTCTGGCAAAACATATCCTGAGGTGTTACATACATATCACAACTGAGAGTTCCCAGTCCACATTTGTTATTAAAGGCTCCCAGGGGAATAAAACATCTTTTTCTTAGACCCCTGTATGAGAACAAAGAACTCAAACCCACATAGAAGTAGAAGGTCAGGCAAAATGTATCCCAAACATGGGACTAACTTACCAGGGTGCCACCTACTTGATTATAATATTTGCATATCAACCCATCACATCTTTCTAAATGTTTGGCAGTAAGTAATTGTGTTATAATTCTTTACTCTTATTAAAAGAATTAGAATGAGAAGCAAGGTGGAGAAAGGTACAAAAAGGTTCTTGAACACAGAAGGTGGGAAATGGGGGCAAAGGAAAGAGGAGGTCATCAAGAAGCCCCACTGGCTCCCTGCTGCTCCTTAGATGCAGGTGGAGGCACGTGACAGCCTCGACTCCCACCACTCATGTCAGCCAGGCTGGCTGTTCTCACTTCTCTGCTTTGTTCATGCTGTTTCCCCTGCCTGAAAGGACTTCGCCATCTCTATACTTAGTCATCCTTCAACACCCCAAAAAATGTCATTTTTAGTGAGAAATCTTTGTCTTGTCCTCCAGGATATCTTTATGCATTCCCCACACATGTTTATTTATGTCTCTGTTGTCACGTTTATCATAATTTACCACATAGCCTATGTGCCATGTCCTATTTATCTTCTTAATTGGGACTGGGTGCTCTTCTGAGGTAGGAGTGACTTTCCTATAAACAGTGCTTCTTAGCCCAGTGACAGAAACACAGCTGATACTCCTAAAGGGTTGAGGAGTAAGAAAATGTTTAGGTCCTTTAACAGTGGCTTCCATGCCAGTTAGTGTGCACCACAGCTGGTAGAACCCATGGCGAGCAGGAAGCCAATGACTGGGCCCAGTTACCTGTGACCCCAAGTACTGTAGGAAAAGTTAACAAGAAAGATGAAGAGAGGGGACTAGCAGGTGGCGTGGTGGTTAAAACGCTGGACACTCCCACATGGCTGATCACAGTTTGAGTCCCGAACCTGGTGGCTTGCTTTCTCACTCTCCCTCTCTCTGTGCCACTTTCTGGTCAAAGTAAAAATAAATGTTTCTGGTCAAATTAAAAATGAATGAATAAATAAAATTAAATAAATAATTAAAAAAATTAGTACGGGACTACAACTTAAAAAAAAAAAAGAAAAAGAAAAAGATAAAGATGAGGAGAGATGCTGGCCAGCTAGCTGGCTGTGATCTTCTCTAGAAACTTCCATTAGGTTGCTCAACAGGGAACTGGGCCACTTCTGTTGACTTCCATGCTCAAAACTCCTGCCTGGATTTTTTTTTTTTTCAGGTTTTTGCCATAGGGTGCATGCACTTGTGAGAGAGAGACAGAGGGAAAGTGAAAAGTCACCTCACATTGGGTATGGCCATGCTACTAAACCCACTATTCAGATTTAATGACTGATGAGGCTTTAAAGTATTACTTTTCCCTGGGATGTCTGCATTTTACTTGTGCATACCCTTGAGAATGGCTCCCTGAATTTAGGGGGCAAGGAGGTTCAAGCTGGGGGTAAGGGGTGTAAGGGAGGATAGGAGTGACAATGGGAATAGCAAAACAGACACTGTGTGGTCTGTAGGCAGACCTCTGAAACCACACTAGGGAGCAAAGGCTCCTGCTCAAGGGTGACCTGCCTATCCTTAGCCAGGAATTCTGTGGCCACACTGACTCTTCCTTTGGGGTTTATCTGGCAATTTTCTGCCAAAAGAACTCCCTTTGGGACAAAATCTGGCTGGAGGTTAGAAAGAGTTCTTCCATCCTGCTGGAATCTGCAGAGGGTTGGGAAAAATCCATCCTGTACGCTGGCCTTTCTCTCACTAGCAGGCGCTGTCTCAGCCAGCAGTAGTGCCTTCCCTTAGCCGCGCGGTGCCGTGCAGCCCTCATCCCATGGAGCCTTGTACTAGCTTGTGAAGGGCACAACTATAATTCGTCTGATGCTTGAGAGACGACAGAGCACTCTGTACACACAATACTGTGTGTATGCCGCTGTGCTAGTCAGAGATATGCTACAAATCAGCCTCTGGTTGCCTCTGTCAGATCTGAACATATTGAGAACCATATTAAACGAAGCCACCATGGCCTCTGGGATCTAACCAAGGGGATTCCCAGGGCTTTGAAAATATAGATTCTGAGCTCTTGAAGACCAAGGGAAAAAAGACAAACTGGAAGAAATGAAAGCAAGTAGTAGATGCTCTCAAAACCTAAACATAGTTTCTGACAGTTGAGGAAACTGTCTTTGCTAGGATTTTAAGTCATACATGGAGTAAACTTTGCCTTGTATTTAGCTGCAATGAGATAAAGTGGACTTGCTGGTGGCTTGTGACATTCTGTGGAAATACAAATGCAACTCCAGCGCAGAGCCCTCAAAGCAGCTGTGGCTCACGTGCTTCTACCAGCTTCCACCAGCACAAGGAGAAGCTTGACTCTCCGACTGCCCTCCTCTTGCCTTTCTCACCTGGGTTCTGTGGAACATGAACCCTCATCATGTTCTGCCCTTGTCCTGGTGGCTGGGCTCCCCACCCCAGCACAGGCAGACTTGGAGAGACTTGCCTGGCCTCTGCCATGTAGCCTGTTCCTGTCCCTCCTCACTTCCTGAGATTCTTGCTCCTCCCTCACCCCTCACATCTGCATTCCATCACCCTGACAGAGCCACATTCTGTGTGGCAACATTGGTGGCAGGTCCTCCCCACAAGGGAGGCCTCTAGAAGTATTTTCAACAAAGGGCTGTCCCACAGTTCTGCTGTGTCTTGGAAATGAGTAACCAAGACAACCAGCTATGAAATAAAAACAGACAGTTGTGGGGCTTTATGGGGATAAGAAAAGCATCTAGATTATTTTTTCCTTAACCACACTGTGGTCTTTTATGAAGAAAGAAGAATCCTTACACACATTCTTACTGCTCATTTGCTCAGAGAGCTGCAAACCATTTGGGATTTGGTTGCAGATGTATATTTTTCTCAATCAAGCCCTCCCTCTTGCCACCAGCACATCCACTCCTCTCTTCCCAGATTAATTTTTGAATGCGTGTCCCATAGGCTTGGGTCAATGGATCATGATGATAATGATGTTTGTTTCTTTGGGAGTGTGAAGTACTAGCTGAGTTGAAATTCTTATTGAGGTCCTGAGGAGGTATTCTAAGGCACATAGATCTGCTGCACTTTGACTAAGAAAGTCGTTTTAGAATATAGGAGTCCAGGGCTCCTCACACTCACGTGTTCTTCTGAAGCATAGAGGACTTCCATTAGTCGCTGCACGAGGTCATCATTTTCCTGCCCATGTTCTTGGCAGAGTAGCTCAATCTCTCTCAACTTCCCGAAGTAGAAATCCCTTTCCTTTTCCACGCCTTCAAGGGCAAGTTTTAATGAATGTACCTGCAAGAGAGAGAGAGAGGGTAGAGAAGAAAGACCCCCAAAATAGTATTAACAAGTAAGTGACCAACTTACTTTATGCTTGGGCATAAAGATCCAAGATATATAGACAGAGACATGCCAAAATAACCCATGTGCAAGTCTGTGGGAGAAACAACGGGGCCTTTCAGAGCCTGAGCCTGGGTCAGAATGTCCAATCTCAACAGCATGCTGTCATTCCCTGTATCAGGGTCCAAACAACCATTCTGCTTGCCTGATGCCACCCAGGCTGGGAATAGGCTTTCCTCTCCTGCTAACACAGGCTGGAGCACATCTTCCTCCTAACTTGTTGCTATGGTCTCAAGGTCTGTGTTCTTCTCAAATTCCTATGTTGAAATCCTAACCCCTAAGGTTGTGGAATTAGGAGGTGGAGCCTTTTGGAGAGGTCTAGGTCATGAGTGGGATTAAAGTCCTTATAAAAGAGTCCAAGGGAGCTCATTCATCCTGCCAGTATGTGACGGGTCAGCAAGAAGCGTAATCTACGAGGCAAGAGCCTCAACCAGACATGAAATCTGTTGGCACTTCGATTTTGGGCTTTCCAGCCTCAAGAATTTAAAAAATTAAACTTGTATTGTTTATTGGCCACCCAAGTTTATGGTATTTTGTCATAGCAGCTTAAATGGACTAAAATACCTTGTTTGCAGTTTGCAGGGAAAGGAGACGAGAATGGCAGAAGGGAGGAGAGGTTATCAGTGTGATGATGATTACCATTATTATTTTAGTTTTTATATATAGGTGTGTGCATTCCCAGGGGTGGGGAGAAGTGAGAAACCACCTCCGGAGGAAGGGGTGGCCACATCCCAATCCCATCTCCTTCATTCTCCTCTCAGGATTGGGGCATGCATGCACATGCACCCAGCGTGTTTTTCAAGCTGCCAGGTCCAGGACTCAAATCAGAGCCACCCTCAGTTTTGAGTCTCTTCAGAAATGATACTGAGCCAGGGAACCAGCAGTTAGTGTAATGGCTATGTCGCTGGACTCCCACGTAGTCTACTGCGGTTCATGTCCCGGACCCGGTGGCTTAAACCTCACGCTGGGCACATGTGCGTGCGTGTCCAAGATCCCGAGAGGAGAATGGAGGAGAAGGGGTTGCGGTGTGACCATCCCCCCTGGGGGGTGATTTCTCGCTTTGTGTCTCTCTCTGTCTGGTGAGCACATGCGCCCTATAGCAAAAAACAACAACAACAACAACAAAAACCTCTCAAAAAAAAAAAAAAGAAATGATAATGAGTCAAACTAGACTAATGTCCTCTACTGAGAAATGGGGTCTCGGAAACAGTGAAAACTATCTAGGGGGAGGAAATCTGCCTTAATTTCTCTAGCATTGGCTCTGGATATATTACTAGAAAGGCAGGGAGGTCTGGAAACTCCAGTCCCTTCTCCAAATAGCCCTTATTCCCTTTTTGCCGCTGAGGCTGGCCCAAAGAACTCCCAAGGCTGTGCAATTTCTCAGTGGTTACAGAGATGGTCCAAGTGAAGGGAAGGAGGCAACAGTTCAGGTAGGGCCCACCCATGCTGGCGCCTGGGGCTGAAGACACCTGGACAGGGTGTGATAGATCAGGTTTCTAACCTCAGACTGCCACATTCCTCTAGGCACAGTAGCTCTGCACAGGCTCAAATTATCACCCTGCGCTGGGTCTCTGAGAATGCTTCCTTTTTTTCCCCTTTGTACACACACACACACACACACACACACACACACACACATACACAATGTACATATACATATGCTTTACATAAATATGAAAGAACCTATACACATAAATATAAATGAGCATATAGATTAATACATAATTTGCCAGAGAGCATGTGCATTTACTAGAGAGAGGGAGAAGAAGCACCTTCCCATTGGACATGGTTGTGCCACAATCCCTTCTCCATCTCTCCTACCATTTGGGATTTGGGGCATGCACACACATATGCCTGGTGTGTTTCTTTCTTTAAAGATTTATTTATTTATTTATTATTTTTTAATTTGACCAGAGAGAGAGAAAGGGAAAGCAAGAAAGCAAGCTGCCAGGTTTGGGACTCGAACTGAGGTCATCCATGTGGGAATCCAGTGCCGTCAACCACTATGCCACCTGCCAGCCCCAATGCCTGGTGTGTTTCTAAAGCTGCTGGATCTGGGACTCAACTGTACAGTCAGCCATGTAAGATCCAGTCACCTTTTTTTTAAGTGCTATGCACTTGCCAGAGAGACAAAGGGACAGAGAGACAGAGAGAGAGAAATCACTTCCTGGGGGGACGGTCACCCCGCAATCCTTTCTCCTCCATTCTCCTCTCAGGATTTTGGGCATGCACACACATGCACCCCACATGAGTTTTAACCTGCTAGGTCTGGGACTTGAACAGCGGTAGACCACACGGGAGTCCAGCAATGAAACCATCATACCATCTGCTGGTCCCAAGGCCCAGCCACCTTAACCACCAAGCCATGGGGTAGCCCTATGTAGAGTATATTCTTTAGGGAGAAAATGACGGCCCTTTTTTTTGAAATCTTTTATCCAAAAATCATCCTTAACAGCATTTCCAAAAATATCTGGAATGAGAAACTTTTTTCTCTTTCTAATAATTTTGGACCTCTTTACATGCTATTTATCTATCTGGAATTACTGATTGATTTGAACATAGATCAAGCACACACAGTATACCTGGCAAATTCAGAACCTTCTTGTAAACTCAGGAAAATAGACCTCAGGAAACCTTGCCGAAGCTGCTGTGTAGCTGCTCACACAGCAGTGAGGGTCCCCTTGCCAACTTTCATTTCTGTTAATACCACAGATTGGGCATTTGTGAAAATTGAAAGCAACTACCCTGAATTCCAGGAAAAACTCCCTTTATTCTAGAAATTCTTTCCTGCTTTAAACAAACCAACCTGTCTTCTCAGCCTGGTCCACAAAATCCTTCTCAATGCCCACACCAGTGCCAGCACATGGGTTTGGGTCAGTTTTGGTGAGCCAGTATGTCCTAGCTCCCTGGTTCTGACAACGACACACTCGACCCATGGAAACTAAGTTTCTCAGCCTGCTGAGCGTGCTCTGGTCTGTACAATGAGCAATGGCTGCGGTTCTGGTAGGGAGGCCCAGTCCAAGTTAGGCTTTGGTGCTATTCTCCATGCATTCGGTAATAGGTGCTCAGCTATAAACACTCCCCAGTAAAAGCCAACATAACTATACGATGAAAGAACAGGTGACAAACACAATCCCATTTCTGCAGTCCCACTCACAAAGACCAGTGCCAGCATCATCCCTCCTATGGTGTGGCAGATGCCTAAGCCATAAGGGAGATGCTGGAGAGTCCTTGAGAAGGTCAAAGACAAGGGCGATGGAGGGGAAAGCCCTTCTTGGTGTGCCCATTGACCCCAGGTCCTCCCAGGCCTTGTCATGAGAACGAAAGCCGCTCTCTGTCTAGGCTAACTAGAACCCACACTCATCCTCACCAATGGTCCCGAGCACTACCAGGACTATAACCCACTTCCTGTTTGCTACTCACTAACCAGAAAGAATCTCTAATTATTTGATCCATGTCTCCTCCTTCACATCTTGACTCAGTCTCATCGCTGGAATTGCCTGGCACAGTGATGCTGTTACAATATATCATGGGAGATTGCCTGGATAAAGGCATGAAGCCAAGTAAATGAAAATTCTTCAAGTTTATGGCACGTGTCACTTTCTCTATTACTACCGTAATTCTCACTTTGGCCCAGGCATTTTGCCCAGCCTCTGCTGGTCCCAGTGTTCATTCCAACACTGTGATGCCTGGGTGGCTACCCACTGGCCTCAGGAGGGCAGCCTGGGGTTTTAAGGATGGAAGCTGGAGGAGCAGTGACAGATAACCACAGACATGGTCTGGAGCTCAGTGAGTATTTGCTGAACGAAGGACTTGCAATTTAGCACATGTATGACCTTCCCTCTGAGGGGCAGGGGTAGGAGGTATAGGGCAGATACACACTCCTTCACACGAAGGCATCAGAGGACATGGAGGAGGAGTGAGGCCTTTTGGAAATGATGACGAAGTTATACCAAGGAGGAGGAAGACCACGGGACCCCTCCTCTCTTTTCTCACCCTGCTCTCTCTAGAGTGACATTTTTGGATGGCAGGATGGACGTATTGTAACAGTCTGGGTGTCCGATGTATGTGGGGCTCTCTGTGTGATTTGGAGAGCAAATGGTTGAAAGAGAGAGGGGCAGGAAGAAGCCTCGAGGTTTCCACGTGGCTATAATTTGGGCTGGAGGGAGGAGAGGAGTCATGAAGAAACATAATAGAGATACTGAAAGAGTATGAGGCCATTAGGAGAAAAGAGTTATAAATCTAACGTATTATACTCCCCACCCCCAGCCACCCTTCATTCTCTTTAGGTCTCCTCTGATTTGCTTGGAGACTCAGGCATGTGGCCCAAGGCTCACTGGCTGTTCTTACTGCCTTTGACCTGAGCAGTCATCACCGGAGACTCTCCCTGAGCTCATAAACGAGAATCAGTGGGTAATTAGAACATTGCACAGTGTCTAAATCAAAGTCCTACACACCGGATGACTTAAGGTTTTACCTTTTTCATTAAAGTGATTGGAATTGTAAAGAAACACCCTAGTGAAGCAACTGCCTACTTTTAAATGAGGTTCCTGAATACAAATATACAATTATCTCTAAAACGGTTTCCAGACTCTTGCTGGCTCATCAAGAACAAGATTAATCACGGGCACTGGCCTGGCGAGCAGCTGGAGACAGCCTGAGGAGGCTGAGGAAGGCTCCTGTCGGTGGCAGAGGAGCCAGGATAAAAGACTCCTCTGCACCTGGGAAGTTCAGGGCTTCCAGCACCCTCGCGCTACCCAGTGCTTTATTACTTCTAAACTACACGTAATGTTAAGAAAATGAGCTATTATCAGGGAGCATACCTGAGCTTTTATAATGCAAATTTCAAAGACAGTAGAGTTATATTTGTGGTAATTGTGAGAAACAGTAGATAAAAAGGAATGTTCTACTATTTAAAACATAACTGTGGCCTGTCAGATTCCCTCAACATTATGAGTTTTGTGCCACCTGACTTCTGCTATCGTGGTAAGCTTTGGGTTTTTTGTTGTGCAACTGCTGTTCAGAAGTTCTAGGAGGACAGGGACGGGATCTATCTTGCTTACATTATATTATTAGTATGAATGCAGAATCTATTGCATAGAACAGGCTTAATAAATATTTGCTGAAAAAAAAAAGGGTAGGGAAGAGTGGGAAGGAGACAAACTAACCCCTAAAGCAGCCTTTACTAACACTATTCGGAGTGGCCAGAAGTGGGCACAACAGACCACAGTCTGGCCTGGTGCTCATTAAAGCTTCTGAGGGAGGAGGAGGCCTGCAGCCTGCATTACCTGGAGGTTGAGTCATCGACCTCGTCTTACTGTGTACACGTTGAGATTTATTTATCATGGACCATTAATTTTATTTTCTCAAACTATTCCTCTTAGTCTTGCTTCCTGGGAACCATGGAGTCTGCCTCAGCTTCCCTCCCTATCCCAGAGGCAGGGCCAGGGGTGATGCGTTACCTGCTCGTTAAGCTGGATGACTTGTGTTTCTAAGTCTTTATCAGATTTAGAGGCTGAGCCGCTGGATGAAGCTCTTTTGGCGGATGAGGGACGAGAAGGTGTGGATCCTGGTTTAGATGCTGGACTTGATTTAGCGGCACCTAAAAGCAACCAGAATGAATGATAAATACTGGCAATATTAAAAGCGTTTTTAGAGATAAGAAGGACATATGATATAAAAGGAGTTTTATATCAGGGCTGGCAGGTGGCATGATGGTTAAGGTACTGGACTCCCATGTGGCTGACTGTGGTTTGAGTGTCAGACTCGGTGGCTTACTTTCTCACTTTCTCTATGTCTCTCTTTCTCACTTCTCTTTGTCTCTCTCTGTTGAGCATGCATGCCTTATAGCAAACTGAAAAACAAAAATAAGAAATAAAATGAAATAAATAATTCTTATATGTAAAAAAAAGGACACATGATTAAATCAGTGTCATCTTGGGCCACCTGTATAACCTGAGCACTGCTTTTTTTCCGTCAAGTAACCCAAGGTTAATGCAATTGTTCTTTCTCCTTCCAGAGAGATGAGTAAGAGATACAAAAGGATTTTAAGTTTTTTTTAAACAGGAAACGTTTTTAGATAAACTTTAAGTATTACCTTCATTGGATTTCCAAGAAATCAGAGAAAAAAAGACAAGATAACCGACTGATACTTTAGGAGAAATATTGGTACAAATGTATATACTTTTCTCTTTTAATATATTTCCTAGCTTCACTAGGAAATGCCCTTTCCATTTCAATTGAACTGAAAGCCTAAGAGCAACAACATTTTCACAGCAGCAAGCACTCTTAATGCCCAAATCCTGGTTTATAAATGTTATCCTGCAATGAAAAATGGATGACTGCAGAGATGGAATAAGGGATGCAAAGGGCATACCTAGGACATCTTGTGTCAGAACCAAGGATGTGCTCAAGCATTAATGTCAATGGTACACAGAGGAAGCCTGAAGGGGCTTCCAACTAGCCACTCTTGAGTGTCAGGAAGAATAATGACTACAATTTATTGTAATGTACAGGATAAATAAAAATCTATCGGTTCATAAGAATAAATGGACATGGGAAAAAGAGGGGAAGGAAGACGAAGAAATGATATAATAGGACTTCAAAAAGTTCAATGGGGCTGGCAGGTGGTGTGGTGGTTAGGATGCTGGATTCCCATATGGCTGACTGCAGTTCAAGTCCCAGATGTGGTGGCTGGCTGGCTGGCTGGCTTGCTTGCTTTCTTTCTTTCTTTCTTTCTTTCTTTCTTTCTTTCTTTCTTTCTTTCTTTCTTTCTCTCTTCTTCTCTTGTCAAAAAAAAAGTCATAAATAAAAATAAATAAATATTAAAAATAAAAGTTGGTAGAAAATGGTAGAGCACAAAATTATTTTGGTATCCCCCCAAACTGAAATCCATGCATTATTTTTTCATACTAAGCATTTTCCATAAACTTGTTGAAGATAGATACTTCATATAGATTTTTACAATATACTGATGGTAAGTGTAGAAGAATGTTAGAACTAGAAAGTCCAATTTTATAACATTTATAACTCAGAGCTGAATCAGAAAATGCTCCGTAAGGGACACCACAGCTTTAGGTGAGAGGTTTAGGGGAACAAGAGAAATCCCACATGTCGAGATGTCACTATAAATTACTATCAAGGAGAAGTACGCACCTTTGCAATGTGGAAATATGGGGGTCAGCGTCTTAAACCACGAGATTCACTCAGCTTATGAATAATGATACAAAGCAGGACAAAGACTGACTGACTTTAGGGAAGACCTCACATATTCGGAGCTTAGCTTCATGACGGACTCGCTGGCTAGAACATGGCACATGAATGGCCTCTGTAGCCAAAATAGAAGTTGCAAAGTATACACAGTGAAGTTCATGAACTTTGTGGGTTAAAGATTCTGGACTCTTCCTAGGGACCTATGTCTGCCCTTTTTCTGGGAACACAGTCCTAGTGGGGTACAGCTCTGCTCCCCACACTCCTCTTCCTGTCTGCTGTCAGTGCTCCTCCTGTGTGCTCCGACTGGGCGAATCCCTCACACTACACTCTTCTAGAAGGCTCTTGGAGGGCAAGGAATGTGTCTTACTCATCCAGGGACAGCATAGTGCTAGGCTGAAATATACCTAGTAAAGGAACAAATGTTTAAATAAATAGATGAACAAGTAAATAAAACTTGGTTACGTGGTTTCCAATTTTAGTTCATTTCCAACATTACAGTTTTTCAGTACCAACAAGTTAGAAAGAGGCAAGGTGTTATAAAGGCAGGTATGTGACAGCAGTTACAAGTTTCAACCAATATCCTAATTACAAAGTAATGAACAGGAAGACTATAAAACGTGTATTGTCTGTCTTTAGGTGCCTGGAGACATTAGTTACAGATGCAAGTCATATACACCCTCCAGAATCATTGACAGAATTATAACCTTTAAACATACTTCTGTTAGACCAAAAGAAAAAAGAAATAAAAAAAAAATAGAGGGGAATGCTAGATATTTTCAGTTTAACCATTCTCACTTTAAAGTATGCATGGGGACTTCAAAAAGTTCACAGGAAACAAATGAATTAAGGTATAAGTTTAATTTGGTGTAAAAATTTTTTGAAATCCATGTATTCGCATAATCACATTTTCCACAAACTTTCTGAAACCCTCCGACGTACACTTTAAAATGAAAACATCTTTGATGATCATGTATAAGGTAATGTCTTTGACTTGATTGATATGCATTGCTTTATGCTGGTAAAAAACATATTGTGTACACTGCAAAAGATATAGTGATTAAATGTAAATTTTGAGTGCAAAATGAAAAACGAAAGAAAAAGATTAGAATGGTTAAACTGAAAATGACTGGGGTATCCCCAGGGTACAAATGTAGTGACCTGGAAATCTCACCTATACAGAACAGCTTCCCCAGGAGCCTAGAGAACTGCTGTTTTATTTGGGGTACAGTTGTAAGGAGCCCTCATCTCTGCAGAAGCCCACCTAAAATCCTGCTACAACATTACTCTGTGTCCCACTGACCAAGTTCTCTACCCAAGGCTCAACCTGCTAGGTAAGAAATCAACATGGAGGAGTGGTGAGGAGGCAGGCTGACCTGGCCCAGAGCTTTCTCAGGAGGCAGCCCCTACCTAGTAGCTGGGGAGGCAGCTTTTGAAAGATCAAGTTCCTTTAGAGCATTTTATAAGTGACATACCACTTTATAATATAAAGAAAGTAAGAGAAAACAGTGTAAGGATTATACACGACCAACATCCTGTATTTAATGTGAATATATTTACTAAGTGCCTGCCATAGGCTGTATAGAGGAGTTCTAAAAAAAAAAAAAAAAAAAAAAGGCAAAAGGCGCAGTAACTAAGAATTCCCAGGCATGGCACCTTAGACCTCAGGAACAAGCAGTGTTCTATGACTCCATGACCATCCTTTGAGACTCAGGCTATGTTCTCTCTGCCTGAAACACTCTCTCTCTTGCCTGGCACCTTCGCCACCTCCTTTTAGTAACTAGGTCTACCATCCTTCAGGTCTCAGCTTATGTCACCCACCTCCTTTCAGTACCTAGGTCTACCATCCTTCAGGTCTCAGCTTATGTCACCTCCTCTGGGAAGCCATAGCACTCCCAACATGTTCTCTACAGCATGTACCAATCATAATGGTAGAGTTACTGTTCTAAAAATTTGCCAGAGGGCATGTGTGATAGCCAGAGACAGAGAGAGAGAGAGAGAGAGTGTGCAAACCCCATGGAGAATGGCCATGCTGCAATCCCTTCTCTTCTCTCTTCCCTCCTTTCAGGAATCTGAGGATGCAGTACACACAAATGGTGTGTGTTTCAAGTAGCAGGGTCCAAGACTCGAACCATGCAGTAAGCCATGTGGACTTCAGCCACCTTAACCACCATGTCACCAGCTGGCCCAATAGAGTTGTTTCTTTAATGTCGACTTCTCCCATTGGACATAAACACAATGACATAGGAGATGTATCTGGTTCCCATGGCCAATCACAGTGCCTTACCCAGAGACACTCAGTAACAGTTTTTGCAATTTACTGAACACCTAATGGAGATATTTCTCCAGGATAAAGATGCCAGGGAAAGCCTGAGATGATACAAATGTCCAAGTCATTGAGGGCAGAATCAGCAAAACAAAAGAAACCAAGCAAAAACAGTGTGTCTCCCAGGAAATCTCTTCCTTGATCTCCTTTAAAGACTACCTTCCATTATTACTTAGGCCCCTTATGTATATACGGAATCAGGGCACTAGGTCAAGGGTAAAAGTGGTCAGTTAATGTGTAACTCTGAGCAGATGAACAGAGTGCTCTGTGCTGGGCTCTGCCATGGGCTTCTGCGAGCAAAGGCCCTGCAGAAGGAACTTCCCTGAGAACGTGTGACCACCACCCTGGGCAGTTCTCCAAATGCAGGTCACGAGCTCCTTGTGGCTCCTGGCAGTGCCCGCACTGTATTTAACATATAGGTAAATAAATAAATAAAATAATTCTTTAGAAAAATCATAACAAGCTGCAATTTTATATGACAGTAATGTCACCATACAGCGATCACATGATGAACATACATTAAGAAATATTAAATGTGTAAAAACAAAAATGAAATCTTTGTTCTCATTATAGTAATAATTTCATGTTTTACTTTGTAGAATAAATAGTGTAGACAATATCCTAAAGTATATAGCACACTGTTTAGATAGTAGAGTCCAGAATTATGATTTTGGTTCTTGCTGTGTAAGTCTTGCTATCGTTTTCCAAGTAACCATTCTTTAAACTGTACTAGCTTTTGTGGCTACCAGGTACTCTGTTCCTATTTACACGGCCCACTACAACAAGGATGCTATCAGAAAATTGCAGTTATTTAGGTCAATACATTTACATTGATACAATACTTCATGTAAACTGCTCTCTGTATTCCAATCTTGTGACGTGACCCAATAATGTCCCTTAGAACATCCATTCTTGGTTTTAGATACTGAGATGTTCAATAGCTTCTTGCTTCTTGGATGTTCTCACTCCACCAGTGATTTTAATTTTAATTGTTCATTTTGTAATAGGATGTGTATGTTTGCTGGAGAGACAGAGAGGAAGGGAAAGTGAGAAATACCTCCCAGGAA